TTAGGACAATGCACATAGCATCCCACAATATAAATTAAAAAGAATGCAATTAAAGTACAGAGATGGAATTATCTAGAAAATAATAGATATTGTATTGACTGGTATATTTAAGCAAATAATGCTCCTATAACTTTTTACAGGAGAATTGTGCTTTTTCCAGAAATCCTTGCATGGTAGAGCAGTGGCGTACTAAGGGGGGGGCGGGGAGGGAGGTCCGCCCCGGGTGCCAGCAGGGTGGGGGGTGCCTTGGGAGGGGGCACCGGCCCCCCTCCTGCTGCAGCCGCCCGGGCGCTCTGTAGAGAGCCTCAGGTGGCTGCAGTTTTGCTCGCGCTCCCTCCTGTCACTCCCTCACTGTAGCGTGGCTGAGCCCAGTATAGTCCGCGGGTACAGGGAGCATCTGTCACAGAGTGTGCACTTCCTGTTAGTCCGGCCGGGTACAGGAAACAAAAGCTACCTGTACCCGCAGACTATACTGGGCTCGGCCACGCTACAACTGAGGTGGGGGGGGTGGTGGAATAAGGAGAGATGGGGGTGGAATAAGGAGAGAATGGGGGTGGAATAAGGAGAGATGGGGGGGAGATGGAATAAGGAGAGATGGGGTGGTGGAATAAGGAGAGATGGGGGTGGAATAAGGAGAGATGGGGGTGAAATAAGGAGAGATGGGGGGAATAAGGACAGATGGGGGTTGGAATAAGGAGAGATGGGGTGGAATAAGGAGAGATGGGGGTGGGAATAAGGAGAGATGGGGGGTAATAAGGAGAGATTGGGGGGAATAAGGAGAGATTGGGGGTGGAATAAGGAGAGATGGGGGGGTGGTGGAATAAGGAGAGATGGGGGGTGGTGGAATAAGGAGAGATGGGTATTCCAGAGGCGGGTCTCTACCAGGGCTGGCAGATCCAGGGGCCTTCTGGTTGGCCACAGCTACTCTTACTCCCATGGTCAGGGAAGAGGCTCCTTCAACCAGTGCTCCGACTTCCCATCCTGTTGATGACCATGGCGGTCAAGGAGATTTAGTTTAACTCTACCTCATGCTTCTTCTCATGTTTGCATAGGGGGCAGACTCCGCACAATCCACAAAGAACTCTGTAGGGCTTTAACCTGGCCACTGCTCCTGCTACGACACTTGGCGAGAATCACCGGGCTATTGGCATCATCAATACAGGCAGTGTTCCCGGCTCCTCTTCACTACCGTGCCCACCAACCATTGAAGATTGCACATCTTCGCGAGGGAGCCTCATTGTAACATATTCATCCTCACCTTGCGGTATCTGCACTCAGCGACCGTGCGTCAGTGTACCGGACTCCTGCAACATGTTGGATCCACACAAATTATATCCCCACGTCCACCCACGGTGATGACGATGACGGCATGACGTCATGCGGGAGACGCACGTGCACGTTCTGGGGTCAAAAGCCGATTTCGGACAATCAGATTTATAAAAGGCTTATTTAAACACATTTTAACTTCTCCTCATTGCCCTGTCATGGTTTCCCTTTTAATGGTTGTCCGAGAGTGTATTCCTGAGCGTTTATTTCTGTTTTTTTACTTTGGCTTTTTTTTTTGACTTCCCTGTATTCTGGTATCCTTGACCTATGGCTTTCCCTCATCGTTGTGTCCCATTCTATTTCCCCGACCTCTGCAAATATTCTGACTATTCTCTGGTACGTTAAGTCCGGGCCATTCTAAGGCCTGGTAAGACGTTACCTTTTAGTCCTAGGTGTGATACAATTCTATGTGCTGGATCAACTAGTAATCCTGATATGTCCATAGATCCTGTAGAATTGTGTCAGCACATAGCAGCTTGCGAAAGAAAGCTAGAGGAGAATGATCACCGTATGGATCAATTTGCCCAGGCTTTCAGTACGCGTCTTACTCAAACAGTGCATCGTCAGCCTGAGGTTTCTCCGACTATGTCACCTCTGCCTAAAGTACCTCCACCTATAGTACATAAGGCACCTACTATCTCCCTATCTCCTCCCCCACATTTTGATGGTATTATCCAAGAATGCTGGGGATTTCTGAATCAAATTGAGTACCACCTTGAGGCCTCACCGAGATCTTTTCCCTCGGATAGAGCTAAGATTGGTTACCTAATGAACCAACGTAAAGTTAAAGCCTTAGCTTGGGCCAATCTGTTATGGGAGAGTAATAGGAGTATTGCACATAATTACCAGGAATTCCTTTCAGAATTCAAATTAACATTCGAACCCTTAGGCAGGGAGGAGGACACATCCACTGCCCTAATGCATATCAAACAAGGGAACCGGTCTATCTCAGATTATGCCATAGGATTTCGCACCTTGGCCTCTGAGTTAGACTGGACTAATAGCGGGTTAATCGCTGCATTTAAAAATGAATTATGAGAAGTAATTCTGGACAAGATAGCTGCCAAAGATCTACCTAAAAAACTAAATGAGTTTATCACATTTGTCATGCAAATTGATAATAGACTTAGAACCAGAGAAACTAACAGAAATAGAAGCAGACGTATGGCGATGTCATTAGCACCTCGTTTCTCCAGACCTATTGTTCCTGACCTCCCTGTACAGACCGAACCCGAACCTATGCAATTGGGGGTCACTAGACAATGTAGGAGAAAAGAAGGTCTATGTCTATACTGCGGTAGAAAAGGACATATGAGGAGTGCTTGTCTCATACGTCCGGAAAACTTCCGCACCTAAGAACCTAAGGGGACAGGTCACGAAACCTTGCCCATTAACATTTCCATTGGTGCCTTACACAAGGAAGACATAACATTCCAAATAATTGCTTCTCCTTCTTGTCCTGTCATATTAGGATTTCCTTGGCTTATTAAGCACAATCCTCATATTGACTGGGAAAAAGGAGAAATATTGGAATGGGGCAAGGACTGTACTGAGAGATGTATGTTGCACATTTCCCATTACTATGGCTCAGGCCTGTAAACTTCCCATAAAATACTGGGAGGTTAAGGAGGTATTCAGTAAGAGTCAGACCAATATTCTACCTCCTCACAGATCATATGACTGTTACATAAATCTGCTACCCAGCCCTATGCCACCCAAGGGAGCAGTGTATTCCTTATCACCACAGGAGAGTAGAATAATGGAAGAGTACTTCAAAGGGCCACATACGTAAATCACCCTCGCCTGCTGGTGCAGGGTTCTTTTTTGTATCTAAAAAACATGGTGAATTATGTCCATGCATTGCCTACAGGGCATTAAACAAAATCACCATTAAAAATGCCTATCCCATTCCCCTCATTTCCGAATTGTTTGACAGATTCCAGGGTGCTAAAGTCTTTACTAAACTTGACCTCAGGAGTGCGTACAATATGGTAAGGATTAATGAAAATCATGAGTGGAAAATGTAATTTAACACTAAAATTGGGCACTATGAGTACCTTGTCATGCCCTTCGGGTTGTGCAATGCCCCGGCCGTGTTCCAGGACTTTATTAATGATGTACTCAGGGACTATATTCAGTGAAGTACAGTTTTTGGGGTATAACATTTCTGCCTCTGGTTTTCAAACTAGAGGCTGTTTTACATTGGCCATTGCCCAATGGACTAAAAGCCATTCAAATGTTTATTGGGTTTGCGAATTATTACAGGAGATTTATCAAAGGGTTCTCTTTTGTTATAGCCCCCATCACCAATATGACACGCAAGGGGGCTAGCAGTACGTTATTGTCTAAGAAAGCTAGAGAAGCTTTTGAACTTCTCAAACAAAGGTTTGTTTGTTCTGACATATTGATATATCCCGACACCAGCAAACCCCTTTATACTGGAGGTTGATGCCTCCGAAATTTGGGTAGGGGCTGTTCTTTCTCAGAGGAAGAGTCAGGATACCCCATTGCATCCATGTGGGTACTTCTCTAGAAAGTTGTCTCCTGCTGAGCGTAATTATGATATTTGCAACATAGAATTGTTGGGCATTATTAAAGCGCTTAAAGAGTGGTGACATCTTTTAGAGGGTTCCAAGTACCCCCTTTTGATCATTACTGACCACAAGAATTTGGCTTACATAGGGGATGCTAATAACTGTCTTCTAGACAGGCTAGATGGTCTTTGTTTCTATCTCGCTGTAACTTTCTTATAATTTACAGACCTGGTCCCAAAAACGTGAAGCCTTATCTAGACAGTTTGATACTGAATCAGTACAGGAACAAGAAACATCCCTATTATTCCTTCCACCAATTCCAGGTTTTCTCACCACTCTTTTTCCTAATTGGTTGATTGGCTTGGGTATGGGCCTGCTGAACATTCTTGGGTTCCAGCTTCCGATATGCATGCAGGTCGCAAGATTCGTTCTTTCCACACCAAATTTCCTCTTAAACCTGGTCCTGCCCACCCGGTGGGCGGTCTTCAGTTCGGTGCTAATGTAACATATTTATCCTCAACTTGCGGTATCTGCGCTCAGCAGCCATGCGTCAGTGTACCTGACTCCTGCAACATGTTGGTGGACGCCGGCCGCTGCGGATGCATGCCAAATTATAGCCCCACGTCCGGCCACGGTGATGATGACGTCGGCATCACTCCATTCTGGGGGGCTAAGTCGTGGTTCCCTCAACTTCTGGAACTGGCAGTAGACGTTCTCAGGTTATTACCGGACCGCTCTGACTTACTGTGGGATCCAGCAGACAATCATCACCCGCTCCTCGGGGAAGGCTCCCTGCTACTGATGGATTGGCAGATTTCAGAGGACCCTTGCAAATCTCGGGAGTTTTGGACACAACTCAACGCCTCTTGACAAACGCATGGGCTCCCGGAACTCGAAGATCATATGGGTCAGCCTGGAGATCTTGGGCTAGCTGGTACTATTCTCCAATTCCTCACATCTCTGTTTGAAGCTGGCCAAGCCTACAGGACAATAAATGTGTATAGGTCTGCCATCTCTTTGGCCCATCAGGGTTTTGAGGGTTCTCCGGCAGGTCAACACCCCCTAGTATGCTGACTTCTATGGGGCTCCCGCCTTTCTCGCCCACCTAGACCACGATATTCTTTAACATTGGACGTCTCCATGTTGCTATCGTTGTTTGACTCATGGCCATCTAATGCGGACCTTTCCTTAAGCCAGTTGTCAGCGAAATTGGTCACACTGTTTTTCCTGGTATCCTGTAAGAGTATTTTGGATGTTCGTGCCTTGGTCGATGCTCGTTCCTTCCCCGCAGATGGAGTGACTTATATATATCCAGATGCACGAATACTCGGATTAGGTCGGTTTCTTACCCGGCTTTCACTTCGGCTTCAGCGTTGTGCCCAGTGGCCTGTCTATGAGTATATGAAGTTTGCACTGAGCCGCATCGGTCACCATCTCCTCCTCATCTGTTTCTATCCTTTTGTCCTCCCTTTACTAGTGACTAGTACTACTATGGCCCATTGGGTGAAATGAGTATTGCAACAGGCAGGTGTGGACACTTCGGTGTTCAGAGCCCATTGGGTACAGAGTGCTGCGGCCTCGTCGATGATGACCTCGGGGGCACGGTTAGGGCACCTGATGAGGATGGCATGTTTTTTCTACGGTTATCAGTCAGCTTTGAACTTGCAAACTGAGCCTTCTTGTCTTGTTTTAAATTACATGATTTTGCTGTTACATGACGAAAAGTCATGATTTTATTAAAGACATGGAGGCGATTATTGTCCAACCCTGGATACACTGCTGAATTGGGTTATATCTTCCCACCCTGGTATATTTATTGGATAAGGTTGGTATTACGGTAAGTGAGGGTTTTATTACATTAGGTTATGATTTATACATTTGGAATGACGGACTGTTTTGGGGTTCATGAGTGTCTAAAAGGGTCTGTCTATACCTTTCATGCACACTAAATTGCGAGGACCAAAATAACTGTGTGGCTACTGTTTATTTATGTTTTCACAGCCTTAATTCAACTCGTTTGCTGGATTCCAATGGATTCTTATATAATGGGATCCTCTACGTTGGCGATTTCTGATTCTGTGATGGATTGGTCCCAGTTTGTTGAATTGTTCCTGGTTGGATTCTGACTGGATTTCAAGACAGTTGTTGGACTGATTCATCGGCTCCTGTTTGATGTTTGTTATTATGTTGAATCTCCAAAGAAAGAGGAAATATGATGGGAGGTGCTGACTATTATACTGGGACTTGGTATGGGAGTAGCTTATCACTATTTTTTCTTACTGTTTGCATTCTTTGCTGCAATCATTGCATCCTAGTGGACAGAGGTTCATATGACGTTCCTGAGAATTGTTGATATGGCCTTTGTCTATGCTTTCACACTACGCTACTATACTGTTGTACCATTGCAGGACATCTCTCTATAATCCTTTATTAAGAGCAACCGAATCCCTGATCCCAAGTATGTGGAAGAAACAGTCTGCTCCCACTCTCCAGCAATGGATGGAGAGGGCTAAGGAAATGTATTCAATGGAGTCCTTAATGGCAGAGCTCTAAGGTATTTCTGGAAAGAGTGTGCAGACATGGACAACTTTGCTTGATCATGTAACCCACAGTTCTGTGAATGCTGACTCTGATGTATAGTCCTTCATTAACAGTCCCTGTCCCCAATAGAAGCCCTCACTTTTAATTTTCTTCTCTACCTCTCTAATCACTCCCCTTTTTTCTTCCCATTGATATTGATGATGTTATTCTTTTTCAAAATGGTCATTGAGGGTATTTGTTTAATCTTTATTTAGTGCAATAGTGTCTAATGATTGTTTGACTTTGATTTTGGTGTTTACAAAAATCAAGCAATAATGGTCAATAGATAGACTGTATAATATGTGAAACCCATGTTCCTTCATTCTGTCACTGAGTAAAAATAAAGGATTTTCAGCACATATCTTCATTATATTTTCACTTCCACTGTGCATTGTGCTGAAGGCCATGCATTTTTATCAGACCTTTTGTTCTGCCTTAACTGAACAAATCTCTGAATTTGTGGGTGTGGATACATTTTTGTACAAACATGGGGCATGACTATAGCTAACCTCACCGTCTGCAAGACAGAAGAAAGCTGAACCAACAGAAAAATGTAAATGTCCAAGAATATATTTGAATTGTATTTTCCAAAACATACTTTGATTTGTAGAGTTGCTATCCCAAAATAAATGTTAGTGTTACTGGTTAAAAACTATTATATTAGCCTTTTTTCAAGCATTGCCTTCAGTGCATAATACATGTTTTATGGAATAATTTAATTAAACACACTTTAAATTCACTATACCATTATTTTAATACTTTTCATGAGAAACCAAGTGCTGTGTAATGGCTGGAATAAAAACATTTCACATTTTAGGTATGTACCTACTTAAATATATACAATCTGATGGCGTTATATAAATAATAAAATAATCATAATAAAAATGTAATTTTACTTGTTCTGGCTAACACAGACTAACTTTTTTTTGTAGCTCTTTTTGTTTTCTCTTCTATTAAATTAAATAAATAATGAACTATGTAATACATATAAATACAATGAAAGTAGTCACTGAAAAAAGCATATGCTTGGGTAAGTATTACAAGCCAGTGTATATTCCTGCCTGAATCACATTTATTAAATGAGCTGAAATCACACTATTTCAAACAAGTGTATCAAATGTCCTTAAGTAAAGTAAGAATTTCATAAATAATTACACAGGAATATCTTGGTGAAAATTAAAAAAAAGAATGTGTGGTCTTGAGTGAATAACAGATAATGATTAGAAAATATGCCCTTTTTTTTTTCTTTTTAATCTCCCACAGTTTCTATCAAACTCTCGGTGCTCAGTGTTTTTACCTTTTGACCACATCTGTCAGGAAACCACTAAAAGAAGAAAACATGGAAGGGCATGACAAGGCCAAAAACCAACTCAGTTAATAATAATCTACATGAGTCATACCTTCATGGTATTAATAAAGTGAAGTTATGCGTGAGAGGGTGGAGCTTATTTAGAAGTGACTCAAAGTACAGAAAGTCGATATCACGCTAAAAGCAATCAGTCTCTTACTGATAAATTTCTGACAGAAATTGTTTTCGTTCCGTCATTCCCTTTGTAGTCATGTTAGTCCTTGAGATCTAGAAGTAGTAGTCAGCATGGCTAATAAGGATAAGGGGATCAGGAAAATTAGGAATATTTGTCCAAATTGATGTCCTTGTGATTATTTGTAATGCCAAACAAATGATTAATTTTCACCAAATATGTGTAAAAGTAAAACAAAAAAATCCCATGAACTAAGTGGAGTCAATAGATATGGGCCATTTTCTTAAGTGCATGTCAGGGTCCAATAAAACAAAAGACAAAAAACTGAGATTCTTTCTGAAGGGGCTTTATGAATTCCCATTTCATTTTACTAATACAAATTACTAATTGTGAAGTGTTGCCATGTCTCTTGGGAACGATAAACAAATCCCCTACATCCAGGGTCGTACCTAGAGCATGTGGCACCTGGGGCGGGTCCTGGGTTTGGCACCCCCCTCCAAAAAATTCTAAAAAAAACCTACAAATTTTTTTAAATGTGTTCTTTTTTTACATTTTTTAAAATGTATTGCACAAATTTGTAAACTTTTTTAAAAACCCCTGTCCCTTCTACAAAATCCCTGCACCCCCTCACATACAGTTACAGACAGACAGTCACATGCAGACAGTCACACATATAGTCACAGGCAGTCATACACACAGTCCGTTACAAGCAGTAACACACAGACACGCACACTGTTACAGGCAGACAATCATATATATATAGTCACACACACAGTTACAGCCACACACACATACACACACATTACAGGCAACATCACACAGTTACAGACAGGCAGTCACGCACACAGTAACATGCATACAGTCACACACGCACACAGTCACAGGCAGACAGTCACACACACACAGTTACAGGCAGCATCATACAGTCACAGGCAGACTGTCACACACAGTCAGACAGGAACACACAGTCACAGGCAGTCACACACACACAGTTACAGGCATGCAGTCACACACAGACACACACACAGTTACAGACAGACAGTCACACACACACACACAATTACAGGCACACAGTTACACACACACACACACAATTACAGGCAGACAGTTACACACACACACACACACACAATTACAGGCACACAGTTACACACACACACAATTACAGGCACACAGTTACGCAGTCACACACACACACAATTACAGGCACACTGTTACAGTTACACACACACACTCTCTCTTACTTACAGACAGTGTGGGCTGGAGGAGGACTGGATTCCTTGAAGTCCTTCCCGAGTGCCTGTTAGGTGGAGGAGCGGAGATTTCTTCTTGCTGCACCTCCATGTGCAGCAGTAACAGCAGCGGGTAAGGGCAGTGTTAAGCCCTGCCCCCGCTTTTGTATTGGCTCCGCCCCCAAACATCCATAGCTCCGCCCCACACTTCCGTGCAGCCACTTCAACTTGCTTGTCTCTGCCTGTGAGCTGTGCGACACCCCAGCTGCCATGGGGCACAGCTCACACGACGCCCTTTAGCGCTCAGACCTGGGTTATGGCATCCCCCCTTACCTGGTGGAACCTAGGGCGGACTGACCCTTCCGCCCCCCCTTAGTCCGCCACTGCCTACACCTCTTAGGCCGCACTAAACCATCAAGGATTGCCTCAGTAATAAACAGTTATATCAATTAATGAGCTAGAATTTTAAGAGATTCATTACATAACAGGAAAAAATATATATTTTTGTTAATGGTCAAAGATGAAGTCCTATATATGAAAAATTATGAATTTCCAAATAAATTTATTTGAGAAAATAACACAAATTCACATTGTCATTATATGTCAAAATCCAGTAGGGTAATTATTTTTGGTGGTTGCAGTGCAAAAGCCATTAATTTTCATGAGCTTGACAGCCTTATGTCGCTTCTGAAACCTTTGATAAAGCTTCCATCAGGTAGAACATCAACCTGTTATTTGCTCATCTTCTTCAGTCATCCCTAGAAATTTCATTAACCTGTCACTGTTCTTTCAAAACATATTTAACTAATTTCCAATACATTTTCTTAATCCTAATCCTGAACCTACGTAATTAATATTCCTTAAAATGTATTGTGAAAGCATGTGTGAGTTTAAGCTTGTGTCTACCAGGAACTCATTATTACAGTGAGGGAAAAAAAAGTATTTAATCCCCTGCTGATTTTGAACGTTTACCCACTGACAAAGAAATGATCAGTCTATAATTTTAATGGTAGGTTTTTTTAACAGTGAGAGACAGGATAACAAAAAAAACATTTTATGTCAATGAGTGAAATAAGTATTTGATCCCCTATCAATCAGCAAGATTTCTGGCTCCCATATGTCTTTTATATAGGTAATGAGCTGAGATTAGGAGTACTCTCTTAAATGCAACTAATCTCAGCTCATTACCTGTATAAAAGACACCTGTCCACAGAAGCAA